GAAGTCAATGTGATTGAGTCCAACATTCGTAATTTGGAATTATGAATGAGAACAAGAAAAGGAAAAAAATAGGTGAACATCTAAGTGAAGTTTCTAAATTGGGAAGTTTCCAAATTTAGAAGCTCCACTGAAATAGGGTTTCCAATTTTGGAAATTGAAAATCGAGAATTGGCACTCGTAATGATGAGGACGTTTCAATGATTCCGAAAATGTAATCGTTATAATTTTCCGATCATTGAGTTGTGAGAAACGAGCGAGTAAAAGACTAACGAACTTAAGATGTTAGGCCCGGTCCAACTTAAGCTCGTTAGGTCTTTTATACAAGACACTATAAATACATAATTTATAGGTGTTGCACAATATACAACACACAAGAGAAAACCCTAGCCGCTCTCTCACAACCCTCGGCCGATTCTCCTCCTCCGCCGTTGCCACCGTTGCCGTCGCTGGAATCGGCCTCACGCGCCGATTGTTATTGGTAGCTTCTTTCTTTTGTCTTTTTCTTCCATATATTCTGACTTTTGCGTGTCTAGTGCCACATATTTAGTAGATCTCAGTATACGACGTGAAATCCGAGATGAGGAAGACCAAGGAGTCGAATTGCCGATAAGCCATCACCGAAGCACTGCCGCACGCGCCGCCCGAAGACTGCGCGTAGATCTCACGCGCCGCCGTCGTTGAGCGCGTCCGTCGCCGCTGCACCGCCATTGCTCCTCCCGAATGCACAGATTGGTTTCCATGGCAGTTTGCTTCAATCCGAGAATTTGCCTCACGCTTCAAGAGGTAATTTTCGGATCCGGTTTTAATTAGGTATTAATTTAATTAGATTAAATTATATGTTAATATTCGCAGTATGAATTTTCGTGAATTGCTATATGTAATTGTTTGTATGAATTCATGATTTACCGCGAGCATGCTATGTGATTTATTATCGAATTAATTATACGCATGTTGTTCTTAATTTTCGCTGGAAGCGTTAAGGTATGTAATTAGTTGCTTAATATGAATCGAGCATGTGTTTATGTGAATTAAATTATTTATTTCATGTAAAATTTTTGTTTTCCGCTGCGTACACGTGCCCGATTCCCAACAATGAGAAGATCGAAAGGAGAAGAGTTGCCACTTATATACACATATTTCCTACCTTGCACCAAAGAGCCCAACAATTGAAAGCCAAAAAGTCACAATGAGCCCTATAGCTCAATTGTTCGATATTAGCGGAGTAGAGAAATTCGGTGAGCCTTTTGAGTCTAAATTATTATGTAAGTATAAATTTTCTCTATTTTTAGATTACAAATATTGGATGCTTGAAGCGATAACATGATTTTTGGTTCTTGGCAAGGGTAAGCAATTAAGTTTCTTTGAATTTTAAGCTTGTGAATTTTCGAGAAGTGCCATGACAATTGCATGTTCTGAAAACGTGAAGTTGACCATATTAATCTATGTGATGAGATGCATTTATTGATTTCGTTGCTTTGCAAGTTGCTAGATATTTCTTGAGGACAAGCAAAAGTTCAAGTTTGGGGGTGCGTTGAGTGTAGATTCTATACTCAATATGTTTACTTTACGTTGATCTTTTGTTTAGATTTAATTATATTTGTGCTTTAATTGATTGATTTTGTGTTCTACAGGTGAAAAACGAGAATTAAGTGTCCATGAAGAACAATGATAAAAAGAAAGGGAAAAGTTGAAAATAAGGAAATAAATCAAATTGGAAGAAGGAATCCGCAACAGCTTTGGCAGTTCCACCGTTTCAAGCATATTTCTCTCATACGAACTCCAAATCACCTGATTCACGCAACATTGGAAAGCTAATTTAAAGGGCTACAATTTGTATTTCACGCAACATTCCAAAATTCGGACTCAAACATGGTGAAAATCGGATTAGAAACCGACTAAAGTGCGGACAAAGCTTCGGACGGCCGGCTCAATTTTGTACTAAAAGCTGGGATGGCCGCCCCCTCATGCGAAGTTGAGCAGTAGGCTACGAAAATTGAGATGACCATCCCAAAATGTCTTGAAATCTTAGACAGCTATTCGAGGCCCCGATTCTGCACAATTTGGAAGTTGTAATTGCACAAGGAAGGTTTTTCCTTTTGATCAAGTCTTAACCACTATATAAACATAATTCAATGGGATCCAACGATGAAATAATTTACACAACAAAACGCGAAGAACGAAGATCGAAGACTCAAGCATAGTTTTTTTTGTTTTTTTTATTAATTTTATTTTCTTTATCATAAGAATTTCGAGTAGCTAAGTGTTTAGTTTCTAGGATTTTATTCGAACCCTATGTGGGATGTGAATCCAATTCTATGATTTTATGCAAGTATTAATTCCGGATTGTTTCTTCTACTTATTTTATTAAGTGCATGGACTTGATCACTTTATGTGCTTTATTGTTATTGTTGAATGCATGAAGATCGGTTTAACAATTAGAAATATAGTAGAAGAGCATCTGTGGTGTTAGTATAGGAATATAGTTAACCTCTTAGGTAGCCATTATTGAGATTTGTGCTTAATGCTTTCTTCTTAATTGAATTGTGTAGGAATACACTAATTTAGTCTTGAATAATAGAATCGTAATACACGCGGAAGCGGATTATGATTAAATTAGCATCTCGGGTTAAGAATCCATATTATTTTCTTACATAATTGATATAATTGGGAGATCAATAATCACATAGGGTGGAGATAAAATACTAGTGCTTTTTCAGTTGATAAATCTTCGTGCTATTTGTTTTCTTGTTTTTTCTTGTTTTTTATTTGTGTTTTATATTTTAGTTTATTTTATTTAATCTTCTCCAGATTCGACTGTGTAGGGTGGGTCTGAACATAATTGTGAGAATTTATCGCTTAAAATTAAATAGTTACTGTTTGATCTCATCACCCACCAGTCGCACACCTCCGCCAAGGCATGCCTCAATTGGAAGAAGATCTGAAGATGTGGTAGTGTTGGGTGGTGAGCAGTGGCATAAGGCTCCGACTTGGGCTGAATTAAGTTGTGAGTTGGACGGATTGAGTTGAGCGATTTGTGGGTGGAGCCAGGCGGCGAAGGTAGGGCATGGAAGAAGAAGGTGAAGATTTTTTTTTATTTTTTATAATTATTATTATATTTAACATATGTTTTATTTTTATTTTTTTATTATTAAGATATATGTGTATTGTCTTTAATAAATATATTTGTTTAAATATATTTTTTTTTCTTTTTTTCTTTTTTTTTAATTATTATTATTATTAAGATATATGTTTATTATTCTTTTTTGTTAAAACACTATTGCTTTTCTAATTGCAAACAAAATATCTGGGTTTTTTTTGTCTTTTGACCTTTGGTCAACAAACAAAATGTCAATAGGTGCAGTGTGCTTCAAAATAGGTTACACAGAGAGGTATGGGTGAGTTTTTTGTTCACAGGGGATTATTTGCCAATTCGCGATTTCACAGGGGTGGTATTTGCAATAAACTCTTCCTCATATGAAACAAAAATCTCAAAACCCCCAAAACGGTAAAACAAAACCCTAATCTCGTGGCATCTTGCAACAAGAATAACATTTTGAAGGGCGACAATCACTTTTTAAAAAAATGAGGTAAAGTGCAAAAAATTAGAAATGTATAGGGCGTGATGTTCAATTTGCCCAAAACTAAATTAGATAATAATAATAAGGGGAAATTTGCTAGACACCCCTTATTTTGGACTTATATATGTAGAGATCCTAGTTGCTTGATGAATATAGGCATAGGTCCTATGACTAAAAAAAATAATATAAATAAAATAAAATGATTAGTGTATAGACATAATCACCCTTATTTAATAAGAAAACAAATCCCATATATCTTCTCTCTCTAATCTCACGTTTCTGTCACCCTATATTTAATCTCTCATCTCTTTCTCTCCCTTTGTTTCTCACGCCTTTCTCCCTCTGGCGAGCTTCTCTGTTTCTTTTTTTTTCTTTACTTTTTTGGTTGATGTTTTTAATGATGCTGATTTTTTTATTTTTTTTCAGTTTGCTGTTTGCATTTTGCCAAGTCATAGGTAGTTTATTGATTGCAATTCAATAATGCCAGTTTTGCTGAATGTTTTTCTTCAGTCTGCTGTTTGCATTTGGCGAAGTCATAGGTAATTTTTTGTTTGTAATTTAGTAATACAAATTATGGATTTTGTTTTTTCTGTTTGTTGTTTGCATTTGGCGAAATAATAGGTATTTTGTTGTTTGCAATTCAATAATATAAAATCTAATTTTCAGTTTGCTATTTGCAGTTCGCGGAGTCATAGACGTCGCAGTTCCCGGATCATAGGCGGTGTTGGGGCTGCGGTGACGTTTTCAGAGTATGAGTTTGTAAAATAAATTATATATTTTTGTTATGAATTAATTTATTTGTTTTAGTTAATATTTGGAAGATAGATGTTTGGGAATTTGTTTTGATAGAGACATTTTTGTGGATTTGATTTGATTTAATTAAGGGTATTTTTGCCTTAATAAATATTATTAATTTATTAAAACATTAAATTTTAACTTGGATTTACGCACATAAATTATGATATAGAGGGACCTATAGCAAATTGCCCCTAATAATAAAGAAGAAAAGAAAATTGTGTTTAGGATTCCCTAATCAAAACCCTAGTCTGGTGGCTTTCCTCGTACGGCCGAACTCGTAAACAACAGCCGCCGCCGCCGCCGCCGCAAATGGAGACCGGCAAGGCTGAACAAATCACCGATAATATTCCCCAAGAAATCATCGAAGAAATCTTGTGCAGACTCCCGGTAAAATCTCTATCGAGATTCAAGTGTGTTTCCCCATCATGGCGTTCAATGATCTCCAGCAAACAATTCATCAAAACCCATCTCTAACGTTCGAAAAAGATCGAATCTTTCGCCGACCAAAGAATCATCTCAACCTGTCAAGGCAAACTAAAGGCATGTTCTCTGTCCTCCTTGTTGACCGAACCGGTCACTCGCGCCTTTTCTTTCGATTTCTTTTCGATGTATAGTTCGAATGATATGGTTATCGTGGGTTCATGCAACGGTTTGATCTGCGTTCTAGTCGACGCATGTCGGTTTTTCTTGTTGAATCCTTCGACAAGAGAGTCCGAGGAATTGCCCGACTTCTTTACCGGAGCGATGTTCCCGAAGAATGTCGTTTCTATTCGTGGATACGGATTTGGTTTCGATGAGAGTAGCGGCGATTACAAGGTTTGCGCCGTTTGTTATATGATGTTTGTGTTTGGTTCAAACATGACTTTTCCGAGTACCGCAAGAATGTATAGCTTAAAGGCCGATTCTTGGGGACGTAATTTGTTCTTTAAGGATGTGTGTATATTTGGTTCAGCCAAGTTTGTGAGTGGGAAGTTACACTGGATTAGTGATTTTAAAACGAAGTCGAAATGGGATGATGTTTGTTTCGATTTGAAGAGTGAGACTTTTGGAATCGTGAAACAAACTAGTTGTATCAAGGGTTATTACTAATACGCGTAAAACCTACGTATGAAAAACCGCAAGTGTACAATATCGCGTTTTGTAGAATAGTGAATTCCAGATATCGATCCACAGGGAATTAAGTTCCTAAATTTACCAAGTACCGTAATTATACTATCCTAAACTTTATCTAGACGATCATGAATGGAAGGGGGAAATAAAACTAAAAAGAAACAATAATAAAAACAACGGTCCGCCAGTAAAAGCGAGGAATTCTGACGTGTGATGGCTTCTAAGGTAAAATTCACCAATGTACTATCGATAAAGATCTACAAATCCGAATCTAATGTCAATTCTATATTCGCTAACTCAGACACTAAAATACCCTAACCCCCGTCTCCAGTGTAGTTAGAGTCTACCCACAGGTCCGACGTCTCCGTTCAGAACCTGATATTAAGAGAGCATTTAGGTCAAGTCCTTAAGGGCTACCCGAGGTGCATCACGTCTCCGATTCCACAACCCGAGCTATGTTTTCCTAAAATCAAACGAGAAATCCTCTCTCGAGTTCATTCCCATTTAGAATCAATTCAACTATTGGCCAATCAATCGAAAGCATTTAATACAGGAAAACATAAACATAATCAAAGAACGACAAATAGATCACAGATCTGGAAATCAAAATCAATATATACAAGGTTTCATTTCCCTAAAAGAAAATGCTCAGTTCATTACAAACATAGCATCAAAATGAAGAACACGAGAAATTATAAACTAAACGTAAAGAAAAGCTTCTGAAAAACCCGAGTCGAAACACTCGTCAAAGCTTCCCGTGAAGAACTAGCGAGAACCGAAGAGAAAACCGAAGAAGAAGTCGAGAGATTGTCGAGAGTTGGTCGAGATTTGGTCGAGATATCCTCGAGATCAATAAGGGGCCTTCTATTTATAGTGAAATGCAAAGCTTCCTCAAGAAGCTTTGCAAAACAAAATATCTTTCTCAAAAGGCGTGCCCAGATCGCGATCCGGGTTGTTTGGATCGCGATCTGGCAGCCTCGGGGAACTGCCCACCGCCATGCCAGATCGCGATCCAGGAATGTGTATCGCAATCTGGATCTTGACCCATTTCAGCTCTGTCGGACCCCCCAGATCGCGATCCGACTTCCTGGATCGCGATCTGGATCTTGAATCATTTCAGCTCTGTCGGACCCCCCAGATCGCGATCCGGAATGCTGGATCGCGATCTGGGCTTATGCGCCATCTTCAAACACTGTTTTGACCCTTTTTTAGCCCGAATTTGACAATTTTGCATTTCATAAAAGTTGTAGATATTGAAGTTAGCTTTCTAAGGCCATGTGAATCAGCTCAATCGGAGGTCGTATGCAAAATTTATGCTTGAAATACGAAACAGTGCCACACCCGCGATAATGCACTTTTGCACGTGTTTGGTTTGATTTTCGGCTTCGCTTCCGAAATCGTTTCGAATCGGCAAAAATAGCTTCTCTTTACCTAAAATATAAATAAAACAAAAACAACATAATATATACAAATAAAGACGAAAACTCGGACGAACGAAGACCAAAACTCGAAGAATTGATAAGAAAAAATCGTGCAAAACGAACACTTATCAATTACAGCCCGAGATTGGGAGTTCTGAAAGGATATCTTTGTGTGTTTTCCGGCTATTCTCCAACTATTATGTTCGACGTCTGGATTTGGAATGAGTATGGGGTGGAAGATTCTAATTACGTAACCCCGTTGTTTGTTTTGCCATGTGGCGAAGTTCTGTTTACGTACGAATCGGATTTTTTTATTCACAATAAGAAAGACAATTACATCACGCAACAACACACCGTTGACTTTGACCGTGATCGTCACGGTAAAGCGGAGGTCTACACAGAAAGTTTAGTCTCACTTGCACTTGATGATTGATGGTGGTGAATATGCGAGGCAAACTTTTATGGTATGATTTGATTAAAAAAAAAAGCATAAAAGGAGTATAGGATTAAGTTTTGTTTAATTTTCTTGTATTTTTCTTTTTCAAAATTCAAATCCATGCAAGTTACAAATAGGGAAAGTAGGTGACATGCATTATTCAAACCCTAGTCTTTTACTATAACAGTAAATGTTAGGTACAAACTCTTCATAATCGGATAATACTAAAATGGTTTGTGGTAATTTTACTGTAGTTCACTTTTGTTATTTTTCTTTTTCAAAATTCAAATCCATGCAAGTTACAAATAGGGAAAGTAGGTGACATGCATGATTCGAACCCTAGTCTTTTACTATAACAGTAAATGTTACGTACCAACTCTTCATAATCGGATACTAAGATAGTTGGTAGTAATTTTACTGTCGTTCACTTTTGTTATATTGTTTGATTTGTTGACAAGTCAACGTAATTATATTACTGTCGTTGACAGTAAAATAACTGTAAACACTTTATGTATTCAATATGCTCTTTGAGAACAATAAATAGATGATATTGTAATGGATTTAAGACACACTTGAGAATACAACAAATAATAAGAAGAAAAGTTTCTATTCTCCTTATGTTTGATTTCCCATTTTATTGTTTTGCTTGAGTTTCTATTAGTAGATTTATAACATTTTATCGGCATGACTTGCTCTACCTCATTAGTCGGTATTTGCATAAAATTGAAAGTTACATGCACTAGCAATGTTTGTTGGTTGAATAATTTGTATCAAATTCGGTTCTCATTCTTTTATTCGGATGTGCCTACATTTACGAGGAATATTAAAGGTAAAATCATATAATTAATTAAAGTTATGTATGCCACGAATTACTGAATGCTTCAATCATTCTAGGCATGTAAGAATTTAAAAGAAAAGAAAAATGAAAAATCATGCGTTCGTGAGTAACCTGAACGATGGAGACATTTATTTGGTGGACAATAGAACAACACACACAATTTTTCGAGATCAAAAATATTTCTTGAGTTTGATATTGGCAAAGGCAAATATTAGGACAATTTCTGGTACTACCAAACTAATTGATGGCTGCGGAAGAGCTAAAAAAGGGATTGAGAAGAGGAAATGGAGAAAATTTGGGAAAATTGGGGAAATTATACACGCATCGGGGAAGATGGCTAGAAGAGGAATGAAATAAGGAAGAAGATTGTTGGAAGAGGAAGGGAGATAATGAATTAGGGAAAATTAGGCTAAAATATGTTTTTTTTTACTTGAAAAGACAAAAAAAAACCCCTCGAAATCGCATGTGTCCAATTCCGGTCATTTTGGCTTGAAAATGGGCAACGTGGCACAGCTTATTGAGTTTGGATGGGATCAAATTTTTTTTTTTTAGGTGGTAATCAGCAAAAACGGACAAAGTTTAGGCGGTTTAATGCTATTTACCCTAATAAAAAATCATATGGGCATACTTTAAGAATCAGAAGATTCTTTTGTCCCATGAATGTATGTGCATTGCATGCTCACAAGGGAAATATAATTGATTATAAGACCATCTCCAATGAAAACTGGTAGCGATGCCCCAACATTTTTACAAAGATTTCAATGTGGACCATTTCACTATTTTATGGTTCTATTGGATGCATCATATAGATGGTCACATGTAAATCTATTGTCAAAACATATGGTTGCTTTTGATAAACTTTTTGGTCAAATCATAAGATTAAGAGCTCAATTTCCTGATTCCTATTATGACTATTCGTCTTGATAATACCGTGAACTTTCATCTAAGCCTTTAACGATTATTGCATGTCAATTGGTATTGATATTGAACATTCACTTGCACATGTACGACTTAAAATGGACTTGCAGAGTTCTTTATTAAGAGATTGCAATTGATTGCTAGACCTTTGCTTTTACGGTCTAATTTTGTTAGAGTAGGTGACCAACAAGCCAACTTGTGGTTGTGGTCTTTCGTATTTATTATGGTAATAAACGAACCTTTATTCGTATTAATGATAAAACACCTTGGCATTCTATATCTTTGTCCCTTTGTCACAAGCATAGCTATAGTCCTTACAGTTATTACAAGTACTAGTAATTGATCGTTAGGATCGTGAGATATTTACTTAAGTATTATAACTGTTAAACGTGTTCCTAGTCGAAGGGTTACGCCACCAATGAGGATATCGGCCTTTCCCATTAGAAGACTAGCACTTAGTGTATGTGTACTGCGTCTCATCAGTAAACGGTATTGTGATATCGGCATGCATAAGTGGGTGCTCGTAAGTTGACGAGTTCACTGAACTCCCTCACCCTAGAAATCTCTAAGTGGTTCCCAATAATCGAGTAGAGATATCTATGGTATAGTTGTACACCATTAGTCCTTATGACCTAGACATCACCGTGACTTCACTAGAGGACCAGCTGTATCGTGACCTGTCTCTGAGTTCCACCGAGGACCTTCCCAAGGGCCAGTGTTCGTGCAGTCCGAAATCTAGTGGGAGGTCTGTGCATTGTAGTCGGGGATTCGATCGCTAGAATAGTCTTGGATGTCCTGTGTGTTCTGAAAGTTTGTAATCATTCTAAGTCTCTGGCCAGAGCTGACTAAGTGATGATTAGAGAATTCGATTCTCTAAGTCATGCACGTGACGATTACAACACTTGGAACGATCGCACCGTCATCGAACATATAAAGAGGTCTCGATGAACCAATGCCTCTAGTTCGATCGGGACATATGTATCGAAGGGACCGTACTGTACGTTAACTATATCTGAAGGTTCTTGCAGGCACTTCATTTGTATCTAGGGAATCATGACGCGTAGTTGCTAGACGCCAATCTTGATTCGTTGGGTGATTAAGGTGAAACGAGTTTCATCTTAATCGTAACTCTAAGGGGACGAGTTTTGACCACAAAGGGTTGTGGGCCCACGGCTAGCTTACACCTGAACCATCGAGGGTCACACTGCTCGTGCACATGAGATCTTTGAATAAACGGTCAGAGATAAAATGGTTTATCTTTGCATGATTGGAAGTCAATATGATTGGGTCCAACATTCGTAATTTGGAATTATGAATGAGAATAAGAAAAGGAAAAGAATAGGCAAATGTATTAGTGGACTTTCTA